CAAAGCCACATATATATACATACATACATATGCATAAATGTCTGAAGCGCGTGAATTTTCGGCAGGTACAGAGCTATGCGTCCATAGCTCCTTTCACGTATTCCGCTGGCTCCGTTGGTTGGCATCACGGAATAGGCTGCCAGCCCCCTGCATTCTCAATCGGATGTCATATCATGCTGCAGAAAAGCAAAGATACAAAGCCAATGCAAAGCAGTTCAATGAGCAAATTCAATCTCCTTAGGAGCAGGAGTTCCACACACACACACACAAAGAGATATTATACAGACACACAGATGCACACACACACACACACTCACATGCAAACACAGACACACACACACACCCACACCATATATCTGCATAATCATGTGATAAACAACAGGGGTTGTCTTCGAGCGGCTCAATGCTTCTGCAGTATTGTGCGGTATCGTGTTACGCTTGTTGCAGGACTTGCGGTTCGTTTGCTCCCACCTCCCCCTCCCCTCCCACCCCACCTCCCACCTCCCGCCTTTATCCTCGCACTTTCACTCTCTTGCTTCGATCCTCCCATTGTTGCCCTCCGTCCTTTACCCCCCCCACCTTTAACCTTTCAGGGGTCCCCTCACACCTTGCAGTGGGACGAAGTAGGAGGAGGAGGTGGGAGAAGGAAGAGGTGGAGTTTTTGGGGGCCCTCATATAGTAATCCTTCTAGATACCTTTAACAGAACCCGTACAAGAACCTACGAAGGCCCCCTAGCCATGCAAGTACCACCTTCAACTAAACCTTCATGAACCCAGCTACCTGCCTTCCGAGATCACCCGCGCCGTCAGCAAGCTGGCCGAGATTCTAGAAGAGGAAGAGGAGGATCCCATCTTGAGTCAGGCAGGGCTCTTGACAGCGTTCCTTCGAAGAGTGCTATACGGGTTTGCTTACGGTTTTAAAACAGGGGCTGTGAGGGCTTCGGGGTTCTGAAGGGGTTAGAGCTAGGGGCTAGGGGGCTTAGGGCTGAGGGCTTTGGGCTTTAGAATTCTAGGGTTTGGGTGTGTTTCTGGCAATCAGTTCTTTTTGTTATTTTGGTTGGCCCCTGGCTAGATGTGTAAGAAAACTGATCAGGCGTCTGTGCCGGATGGTCTTTTAACCGTAAGGTCCGTTTAAACCGGTAGCTTCCTCGATGCATCTATCCGCTGTCACGGTGGCAAGAGCTTGAAGATTTGTTGCTTACAATCCGGCAATAACACTCATGACAGAGCCTCCCCACCTTGCAAGAAACATGGGAGCACATACATGTTCCTTCATGTTCCCATGTGTTCCGGAAGTGAGATACAGTAAACTGAGCATGTCTTGCCGTGTATCGAGCATGTCACCTCTGAATCCACCAGTAATAAAGTACTCTTTTTCCATGAGAAGTGATCGCAGAACAATCTTTTATCTGGCTTCCGGTCTTGTGTCCAACTCAAGCACTGCATGTATTTAAGATTAGGCGCTTGGGGCTCATGCTTGCCTCACTCGTAACAAGATAACGGAAAGCTCGTACCCCCGTTCAATAAGACATGCGGCAGGCCCTGGAATTCCTTATTCAATTTCTGCAGTTCTCCGTGAGATGAGACGCTGACTCCTGCATGAACTTGACAGAGCTCTCGTTATCTCTCAGCAAGCCTTGACCGCCAAGCTTTCGGCTTGAAATCTTCGCACCCGGACCTTGGCGAGCCGAAATTCGTGTGGCCCCGACCTCATATGAGATCTTAGGCTCTTAGGGTTCAGGGTTTAGGCTTTTCGGGATCCGGGTTTGGGCTCGCGTTGTGGGCAGAGGGAGCTCCGCGGCGACGAGGCAAGCCCTCTGCAAAAGTGGTCAGGGTATGAGAGTTTACGGGTGCGGAGTTTCAGGGCTTAGGGTTGAGGGTTTAGAGATTACAGCACGCATCGCCGCCATACCTGTGCGAAGGTCCTTTCTAAGTACCAGGATCCGAAATTGAGCCTGAGAAGTAAGCAAGAAAGCACCTGAACGTAAACTAGTTGATAGCTAAATGGCCTTGAAAGGATTATCGTTCGCTGATTTTCCCTACTCCCACCGTTGAAGATCCTCAATGTGCAGGGGAACCTTGCAGCAAGGATAAGCCCGAAATGCTGAGAGACTGTAGAGTTTCCGAGGGACGCCGGATCGTTTGATAGAGCTTTCGGCTTTTGTCTGAGGAGCAGAGAACCTCTAGATTGTGGAGTTATGTCTTTGTTGATTGTATGCAACTTGATAGGTTTTGATGGTTAAGTATGCACACATGAAGTATATATAGTGACTGGCATAGTGAAAATATCAGTTTGCTAGCATCGAAGCGTGCAGTAACCTCCGGAAGCCCTGAAGCAACATAATATACTTCCAATCGTAGAGGGATCCTTCACACATGATTTAAAGTGCAATGGCTGCTTACTCCGGGGCTTCGGTGTCTCTAGGTTTAGGGTTGCACTCGGGTCTCTGCAAGCACAAGGAGGATGATGCGCAGGACTGTTGAGCGCCTAGCCTGGACACTTAGCACTAGCGGACCGTATAGGAAGTTTGTTCTCAAGAGCGTCGCTTAATCCCCCACTAACACTAGACCCTATATCCCTAACCTTCATGCCCTTATCCCATCAAACTTAAAACTTAAGCCCTATAACCCCAAACCCTTTGTTTATATCCTCGACGCCCAGGATTCCTTGGCGATGGCTTTGCGGCTGTGCTTGACGTCCTCGCTGGCTGCTCTCGCTACCTTAGGCTTGCAAGGCAAGGTTGAAAAAGGGATGGTTTCGGAAAGTGTTCGACTTCGGGGAGTGTGTGTGTGTGTATATTGTATTTTATGCGTTTCGGCTCTAAGTGGTTTTTGGTGATTTGTGCTTTGAGGTTGGAGAGGGTTTCAGGATGCTTTTCAGGACTTTTTGCTTCAACCAGGTCGCTCCAGTTCCACAGAGCAGGGAGTCTATTGCGAGGTTTTGAAACGAATTTTTGAGTTTAGGTTTAGGGCATGATTGGGGCAGCATCTCCTCAAAAAAAAGGCATCATTGGGGGTTACGGTGCCTATATGGGGCTTTTTGAAATCAATGGCTATTCATGGTGTGCACTTGAGTCCACGTTTCGCACTATGACTTTAACAACTGCCGTAGGGGCAACCCAGGCAGCAGGCAATCGATCGCGAGCTCAAACAGTAACCAGGCTCTAAACGGACCACCCCCACATTATCGCGGCATGCCCAAGCCCTAAACCCTATGTAAGCTACCCGGTTCTAAGTTGACCCTAAACTACTGTGCAATATGTCTGGACTGTGAAACTCCCAGGGCTGTCCGCCCGATTCTGCGAAGTGCCCTGAATCAAAAATTCGAAACACTAACCCTATAGCACATGTCTAGAACGCATAAAAGGATCTACAGGGGATTCCTATAAGACTACCCTTAAGGGTTCTAGAATAGGGTCCCTTTCAAGGAACCCGTCTGGCCTTTCAAAAGGAACCCTAGATCCACATTCCTAGATCCGAGCCCCTTCAGCCCGCAAGCCGAGACCCCACTTGGGAGCTTCCGAAAATAAGGGGTACCTTCTTTTGGGTCCTTATAATAAGGATCCTTTTATATAGGGTGCTATATTAGGGTCCCCTATTTTCGGAAGCCCTCACTTACCCGCAAGCCCAGAGGCTGCGACAGCGGAAGCAAGCCCCCAGCCAAGGACATTCCGGTTTAGGGTTCAGGGTTTAGGGTTTACCTAGAGTTTCAGAAGGCGACCCAAAGGGCCCAAGGGCCCGATCATCAGAGAACTCTGATTTACGAGAATCGCTGTATGGGTGAATGTTTGGGAGCCTGTGTATACATAAACAAGTACCTAAGTGCAGAAACAAGCAGATAACTTGAAAGCCAAATATACATGTATAGATAGACAGATAGATAGATAGATAGATAGATAATTGATAGAGAGAGAGGGAGGGAGAGAGAGAGAGAGAGATAGATAGGTAGGTAGNNTAGGTAGGTAGATAGATAGAAAGATATGTCTCTTTGTCTGTTTGCTCACCATGTGTTTATCCTTGTTAGGTGCTTGGGCCCTGAGGGTAAGGAACCCTCTGGGCTCCCTTAGATGGAGCCTCTCAGTCACGGCCTGGGGGGGGCCTTTCACGACTACTCTCAGGTGTACTTTCAGGGTTCGTTTTGTGTGGTTTCTAGAAGGTTACTTCGGGTGACGAAAATTCAGGGTTTTGGGTTTCGGGCTTCGGTTTGGGGAGGTCAGAGTTCTGGCTTCAATAGGATTTGGAGATTGATCCACCCGAGCTTCAGCACTTGAGTGGATGGGATGGGATGGACGATAGGCATCTGGCTAAGCACCAATAGCACTTCTTGGATTCATATTGTTTAGTTCTACTGCGAAGCCCCCCCCCCCCCCCC